ATGGTCGCGCGCCCGAAACTTTACCAGTTAGGCTATCTGCGACGTTGCACGTAATGTTTGATTCAGTGACATGATAAGGTGTCAAAACCAAGTCATTTTTTTTATTGTACAGATAAAAATAGCTTAAATAAAGTTATATTTTTTTTTGATGACAAATAATTTTTCCGTAATTTCGAAATTAAAATTTTCGTCTCTAAAAAAAAAAAAAAACTCCAATTTTTAATAGTGGATTCAAATTTTTGAATTACGGTGAAAATATTTGACGTGCAGAAAATAAGTTTATAGTTAAGTTGAAATTAAATTATAATTTATTAATTAATTATTCAATAAAATATCTCCCGATTAAAAAAAAAAAAAAAAAAAAAAAAAAAACATGTTGACTATTATATTTTTCATAATCAAAAAGTATTATAGTTTCTCATTTAAGACTATGAAAAAAATTCAACACTTGTAAGCAATAAACTCTTCTGAAAAGTATTGAAATGATGGATCTCTGTTGATTGCCTGTAGTCTGATTAATTTTTTATGATTTTACTTTGAAATAAACAAAAATACAATAATTTAATATTTTTTTCAAATTTTTCGTCCCGATCATTTACTGAAAATTTCTCATTTACCTATCTTTTTATACACTTTGAGTATTTTTATGGAAATAAAAAAAAATAAAATATTGTCAGCAATTTTTCATCGTTGACTAGTAAAACATTCCTGACTTACCGACATTATACGCTCGTTTCACGGTCGTTTCACTTACAAACTATATCGTGCAATGACAGACGATCGATCGATGATGTACGATTTTTACTTAGGTAAAAAATCGGAGAAGTCAAGTAAAAATTTGGTTTTTCGAAGAGTGAAGTATGATAACTATACAGAATAAAAATCATAAAGTAACAGTGAAAAACTTTCACAATGATACTCGTCGTTCACTGTCAAATGACGGCCGTTCGATAGTCAAGTGACGGTCATTCGACAATCATTTGTCGACACTGTGAATTCACGGTACATTCACCGTCGTTTCACGATCATTTTACTGTGACCCCGAATCCGCCAGGGTATACTTGTGCAAGAGTTGCTCAAGATGAAATGTTTTTGAATGACCGTTCGCATCATTCTACCCCTCCTATATTTACTATAGAATCAGTGGATTTCTGAGAATTACGGATCTTGAGCAAATCTTGAGCAAGTCATGGGTAAGTCTTTGTTGTGAGTTTCTGGTACAAAAAATGCGTAAGAAAGTTTTTCAATGCACCTTGCTTTAGACTTTTCTCATATTCTTGCACAAGATGTCTTGAGCTAGTTACATATAAATCTTGAAC